CTATTTTGAGATAATACGTGTTCCAGACGGACGTCTACTACGATTTTTTATCGAATTTTTTGCTTTTTTCTTTTTTCATAAAACAGCATTTTCCCGACGGTTAGAGAATTGAGTGAAAAAACTTCAAAAATAATATTAGGAAAATCAGTAATATATGGTTCGATGCGTCGTCATCTCCTCTTTCCAACGGTGAAAACCGCAGTTCTCTATCCTGTTTCTATCAAACTTTATTCAAAAAGGACTCACGAGCATTCATGCTACCAGCACATATGCGAAGAAAACAGATGTTATCGAAATTTTATTATTATGATACCAGTTGAATAGTGATCAAATAGCATAGAAAAATAGAACGAAAGACGCTCTATCTGTTCATAAAAAAAGACATTTTTTTTAAGCTTTCTGTAAGAAAATAAAGTAAATCCGCCACTACTTTTGGACTGCCCTAAGTATATTGAACACGAAGAGCTTTATTTAATAGGCGATAAAGAAATGAATCTCTCGTGTACCATTGAATTGCTTGATCGGATGAATAAGTCTTTTTATCAGTGCCGGTTGTCTTCATTCGATCTAGACAATCAACTAGTAATTGTGTTTGAAGAAATTCACCATTGAGTTCCACTGTTGATTGATCGTTACTTCTATCATGATGGAAAAGCCTACACGACAATCGTTTATCAAAATCATATTGTCTTCGTCGTGTTCGATCGTTTTTAACATGATTGATCAGATCATCTAGTCGATTGTGAACACCACATACCTAGAATAAGTTATACTAATCTTTTACAAAGATTCCAAGAACAGAAATCTATGATCTTCGACTTAAAATCAGCTTAGTTACGTATGTGTTTATTCTTTCAATGGTGTTCCTAGGCGAACTTTTTTTCTTGCTCTTGACCTGCGCTGGCCTGAAGTTTTGTTCATAGCGCATGACTTTCTTTCCATAGGCAAGCACTTGGATGCATGCATGAGTTTGCACATGTTTCAAGAAATTCATGCGCTGACATATGAATGTTGTATCAACCAGCATCGTTGGAATAGTCAACTAAAATAAAATAGTGGGAGGCCTCTTAATATTCAGACGTTTGAACGCAAATTATTGTTTCAGATTTTAGGGGTGGTTTTTAAATTGATGTAATGTTCGGATTGAAAGTTTATTAGAAATGAAAGCGTTCTTCAACGTTAAATCTGTATAAAAAAAGTATTTAAAAAAAATAATGAAAGACTAGTTGCAGACAGCATAAATATTTTTTTCATGATTTGATTAGAGAGTAAGTTCCGTTAGAACACTGATATTTGAGGTCTGTGACGGCGAGAGTGGGTGCGACTGTAGGTGTGTGTATTGTCTTCACACGAAGTACACCCACTCCATACCCACACCGACGCCGACACTCATCCCCACAGCAACAGCGACATCGACACTCACACACCCTCAAGATATGTTGCAGACAATAAAATATGTGTATTCAAGGAGCTTTTGTCGTTAGTTGTACCATGTCAAGATAATCAAATGTTAAGATGAAAGACTGTAAGTTCCGAGCACGAGAACATCAAGTGCCAATTTGATTCTATACAGCTTGACAAGTTGATCATAGCTAGATGGTTGAAAACGAAAAGCAAATGTAATCTGGTAGAATAATACTGATATTATGATCAACTATGAATATGATGAAAAGAAAGCAAAACCGATCATTTTGTTTGCTGCGAAATACATTAGACAATGTCTCGAAGCAGTATCACTGTTAAAAAACACCGGTAGATATTGTTATCTATCTCACGAGTTTGTGCCTACCTTACAGAGAAAATTAGACTATGTGTCTTGTGAGTTGCTGTATGATAAGCATATCAAAACTCTTATCAGTCATAAGAAGACTTCTGTTTACATCGAATCACTACTCATTTCTTTCTCAACAGAAGTAACAATAACACTAAAGTAATATACGAACTTCTCTACAAATAACTCGACGCTGTTGAATTTGTGTAATCCGAAGTAATATCTCGATCGTCTTATTAGTAAGCATAAATTTTGTTCTTCAATAAAATCAAATACTCGTCTGACCCACGGAAAAATTTTTTTCAAAAAACTTCTCGACGCCGCGGTTTCATAAACTGCGGTAATCAACGGTATTCGAAACCGTTGTTTGTTGCACCGCTATATACCTGCGGTTTCCGTCGCCGCCACACCTGACTCACCTGAACTTTAAGAAGTTCCATTACCACAAAGTTACTTTGTAGTGAGAGATAGAATAACAAAACTTATTGAAAAATTTCATGAACATAGCAGGGCACGACATCCTCTTCGTCCTCACACATTCCACCACGATGGTGTAAGCAACAGAAAAACCGCGGTTCTAAAACCGTTGAATACGGCGGTATTTAGACTCACGGTTCTGAATACGAACAACGCAGTTTCAGAAAACCACAGTTCAAAAGAAACGCTACCAACCGCGGTTTTACCAGAGGAAACCATGGTTGGTAGAGGTTTTTCGAAAAGAATTTTTCCGTGTGGTGAACAAACAACTGTTGTAAAACAAATTTTGTAATTTCTCTTCTACGGAAAAAGTCATTCAATCTCATCAAGCCTCAATATGTGTGAGATCGTAAGCGTATTATAGATGTAGTTCACAAAAGCTTTGAGCGTCATTCTTGAAGGGATTAAAATGTGAAACGCGACGGAGTCTTTTTGATTGTATATCAAGACTCTGGTAATGTTGATCATGATCCGCGACAATGCTGAAGAATCAGCATGTCGACATGTCGGTCATGGCCTGTGGGCCGGGTCAGAGAGGTGGGAGAGTATCACCGTTTCTTTTTGCTACATACTTCAACACTAATTACCCATCGTGTTTCACAAAATGAGAAAAAGAATTTCTACGTATTTTCAGATGCACTGTAGCTGATCTCGTTCGGTTACCTCCTGCGCTGTAGGAATCTCGGTCGAACTTGATCTGAATTACTTCGTTCAATATCTCTAGGTTGTGTCTGATAGAAATAACAATGTTACCCAAACGCTCGAAAATGCATGCGAAGTCTGAAAATTGTTCAAAGCCTTTCAAAGCAGGATTCAGGTTTTGCCAGATGCCCAGTTCTAACCAGAAGGCGCTGAGCTTCTCTCTCCTGGCTTCTTCGGATTACGCCATTAGGAAAACTTTCATCGTTTTTTTTTGGCGAATATTTCGCATACCTGTTTGACGTCCACTTGATTGATCTCATTCTATCGATTCAAATGTTTTAGATAGATATCTGCGAAGGTAAGAAACATGTCATCGTTGTCTCAATACAAGACAGTCTGCGAGAACATCATTGCTGCTATATGTGCGCACAACATTGACGAACTCCTTTCGTTTTTCGATCCCAACTACGAAGTGGTGCGAGATGGGCAAATCATCATTCGATCAAGGGATGAATTAAGAAAAAATATGGAAACAGCGTTTTTGGATCCAAATTTTTCAGCCCGCATTGTCGAATATTTACCAGTCGATGGTGATGATCGTGTGCGTGTTCTTGTGGCGGATAAGGACAATAAACAATATGATGAGACTTGTGTCTTTTCAAAAGAAGGAAAAGTCGTTCAATTACTGGCTATTAGCGTTGCCAATAACTAGAACTGGCGTGAGTGCGTATGTATTGTTCTTTTATTCGTTAATTTGTCCATTTTCTCTTGAAATGATGAAGCAATTTTATATTGAATTTGATTTGACTTTGATAATAAACATTTTTAATAAATCTATTACTTTCCTCGATATTGCCAAAGTCGTAATTAAATGCTTTGAAGAATAAAAACTGCTGATGAACAGTGGCGATTGCGTTCATTCACTTCGCTGTCTTGCACTATCGAGCAAAGAAGAAGATGCAGTATGCACCCAACGAAGCCGATTGTCATATATAATGTCGCTATAATTTCGGAGTGGTGTGTGTGGTGTGAGTGTGAGTGTTAGTATTAATTTCACATTCACACCCACGAGCTATCAAATTAAAGTTACTCTGCAACGGACACACTATCTCTTATTTTTTCACTTTTTCATAATACCACTTGTTCTTCTATTCTCTAGCTATCCAGTGAGATGTATTTACCGACATTTTCAGAAATTCTTCACCAATTACTCCATCAAGACAACATCTATCATACTAGGGATTCATGATGGAAATGAATATCTTCTACGAAGTTGCCAAGGTTTAGTTCAACCTATGCCAAGCGAACATACAAGAGCATCGAGGATTGCCAGCTAAATGAGTTCTAATGATCTACACTCCACCAAAGATCCATTGGCGGAATCGAAACTATTCGAAAAACAACAACAAGTCAATCAATTGCTGTCAATTATTATTCATTATATGCACAAACAGCGTTTCGCATACTATAAATAAGTGATTTACCAGACATGAAAAGACTCATTCAACCAGACATCACTAATGGATACTAAACTCATAGTCGGTACTGAAAATAATCCAAACATAACAAAAGAATTAGTCCGTCGATGTCCATATCAGGAAAAACGTCTCGAGATCCCAAACATCGACAATCAACAAAATCAACTCATTCAAAACGTGAAACCAAAAACTCAAGATAGAAAAATTTAGTTAAAAAAGATCATGAATATCATAGCTTCATACATTGTTGTAAATCACAGTTCTCTTAAACTTTATAATAAAAAATAAACTTATCTTTCCACTGTGTAAATATGTCCTGTTCATCTATTGTAGATATAATAATAATAATAGTAATAACGAAATTTAAAGTTCTTTTCGAAGACGTTATCTGATTTATGCATAGATTAAGATATTATGTTTGTGATTTCTTTCTTTCTTTTTTTCTTTGATTGATTGCGATCATATAGAACTAATATCACAGAGTTAAAACCATCTGATAATGATCCGTTTGGCAAGGATCGAAATTTAGATCATGGTTTGCTTTACTCACGGCGCACGAAAGAAAACACAAAAAAAATATATGGAAATTAAAGCATACTAGTATATTGTCAAACATGCAACAAAAGTCACACTCATTTCTTGGCTTGTGCCAATCGATAGTAGAATCCTTTTCTTGCTAATAAATCATCATGTACGCCTTGCTCGACGATATGACCACGGTGAAGTACACAAATAACATCGGAATTTTGAATTGTTGATAGACGATGAGCAATTACAATTGTCGTTCGTCCTTTCGATGCTCGATCGAGTGCCTCTTGTACGATTCGTTCGCTTTCAGTGTCAAGAGCGCTCTATAATATTAGAAATGCAAACAAATCTTTTCCAAATGAAGAACTCACCGTCGCTTCGTCAAGAAGCAAAATAGACGGATTTCGAATAATTGCTCGTGCAATAGCTAAACATAACAATGAATAACCTTTCTCTTTTGAGAAATAAGAGAAGAAGGATGTTTTTTTACCAATTCGTTGTTTTTCACCACCAGAAAGTTGTGTTCCTTTGGCTCCGACATTTGTCTCATATTGTTCTGGTAAACTTTCAATGAATCGATGGATATTTGCATTTTTAGCTGCTTCACAAATTTCATACATTGACACATATCGAGATGTATCACCGTAGGCAATATTTTCACGAATCGATGCATCGAATAAAATAGGCTCTTGACTGACAAAACCAATTTTACTTCTCCACCATTGAAGATTAAGCGATGAAACATCATGATGACCCACTAACTGAAAAAAACAAATTATATACGTACATATATAATGAGAAGTGACTCACCAATTGACCACTTGTCGGATTGTAAAAGCGTTCAATGAGTTGAATTGTTGTGCTCTTACCACATCCGGATGCACCGACAAGTGCCACTTGTTGATCTAGATGAGTAAGATGTGTTTGTGATAGAAACTAAAAACGTCTTACGCGGTTTAATGTTCAAATTAAATCGTTTGAGTACTGCTACTTCAGGTCGATTTGGATAGCGAAACTGGAGATCGACAAAATCGATTTCACCTTTGAGATTTTCCTCAAAATGAAACAAAAGAAAGTGTCAGACGATATTTATGAGAGGTCTATGGTTCATACGAATGTGTCACCATCAGTCGCTCCATTATCAATTTCAGGAGTACGCTCGAAAAGAGCTAAAATATGTTTTGATGCATCCTATAGAATTTGATTCAATGATAATCATTTTTTTGTAGACAGACAATGAACATACAATAGCTTTCGAATAATTGGGTGATAACGAAACTGCTTGACCAACCTTTTATAAACAAGAAAAGAAGTATAAAGTTAATCACATTATTTCTAATATAGACTTACAGCCATGGTGCCAAAGATAAGACAAGTGAGAACTCTATAGAATGACAGTATCATCTTTCTTTTCGCTCAGTAGATAGATTACTTACAGCATAACGTTTTCGAAACTAGATTAAAAAAGTGATACAAGCTGAGACATGGGGAGTTCGACAGAAAATTTGAAAAAAAGACTCACGTCATCGAACCGCGATCGACCATCCATCCACCGAATGTGAAGAGAGCCGCCTGTGCAAAATACATGATCTAAAGAAACGAACAAACAGCAAAGTTAGTTGTCAGAAAATGCAAATTGACGAGTACCGAATTTGTGAAACTGAAGAGAATGGCAAAGATGTATGCACGTTTCAAACTATTTCTGAAAGAAGACCAAAATATTATTTTGCACTATTTTCTTGCTATCAACAAAGAACCATGGTCGCACTTACCGCAATGGAACATCAAGTAATTTGCAATATTCATCACCAAAATATGATTCTTTAACTAGCTGAGCAACAGTACGAATATTCGATATTGCTTCGATGGCGATCTGTAGCTCAGTTAAAAATTAAAATAAATTTCGTGATTTGTTTCTTATTTACCTTTCCTGCTTCTTCTAATGCCTTCTTATCCTAAGAGGAATTATGAATAGAAAAGAAATTATGAAAATGTTCAACCGCGTATTTCAAAGTACTTTTTTGGCAAACCCGATGAGTAGATAAGTTTGTAAAAAACCAGCAATTATCATGAATGGAACAAAGGCTAGTATGATGAGAGTCAATGCCCAACCGTAGAAAAATGCCAAAATGATGCCCGCACCGAGATTGGCAAAATTTTGTAGCATAGTTCCAATCCAAATACCGGTAGCCTAAAAACAAATTGATAGTTTGTTAGGTTGAAGATTAAAAAAATCCAATCAATCTCTAATTTTTTAAAAACTCACTCCTTGTACAGCCGATGCTTCCGTAGACAATCGAGTACATAGAGCACCTGTACTATTTTCGGATTTGTCAAAATAGGCAACTTCTTGTCGTAATAACGATCGAAATATTTTTGCTCGAAGTCGTTGTGTGAGTGCTTCACCAGAGATGCTAAAGAGAAAGTTCTAAAAGCAAATAATTAAATAATTAAATGTATTCACTGCACGAAAGGATGATACTAGGGCACCATGATAATATGAACAAAAGATATCGCATGTGCTGAATAGAGTGGCCTATTTATGTTTCTCAGAAACAGAAACTTCCATCAACAGCTATTTCTAATATCTCAATGTGTTCCTAGCTTCTGGAAATAGAAACGCGAAACAGCCCTACTTTTCAACTCGCTTCTCGCGGATCTCGTTTCGATCAATATCAATTGCATACCTCTGGTTATAGTTTAGGCAAAATAAGATATTTGATCTAATGTAACTTGAACTTGACAGATGACTTGTAGACCTGTAACTTAGTTCAGTTTAGAAAGAAAACTCTACTGACAAGAATTTGTTACAAGTATGAGAGGACATGCAGTAACTCACCTGCAGAAACATGGTGATCAACATGAGACCTCCAAGACCAACGAATAAGATGACATAGAAGTTAACGTGTTCTTCTCGTACATGTAAATTGCATTCTTGAAACACCTGAAATTTGAAAGAAACTATCTTTTAAGAGAAAAACAATTTTCAAATACAGAACTTACAGCGACGATTTTGCTTAGGATCACACCGAATGCTGGTTGAATACCTTTTATGATAGAGAAACCAAAACCGATGCAGTAATAAACAAGAAAAAGAACGAACCTCCATTACAAATACATGCGATGCAACCAAAAATCATGTAACATAATTCTGGTTTATTCATTTTGAGTATTGTGAAAAACGACGAGCGGTCAGAACCCTACACAATCAAAAAGAAACAGTACAGATTATTCTCTCTCTCATCTATATAATTATCTACTATGATACGTGAGCTAACCCCTCCCACTTCTCAGTCTTCGAAAAACCATCGTTTTTCTCTATTTAGGATGGAAAAAACGTGTGATTCCTTCTTCAAAAATTTCGATCGGCCTGCAGTTGATATAAATCGCTCCCAAGATCCTAACTCTTTAAGGATTAATGAAGAAAATAAGAACATGTACTTTGATATTTTTATCATCTTGAGCTTCTGTCTGGCCATCTTGTCTCTCTTCGAATGTTGTCTCAGCTGCATGACGATCTTCATCACCCAACGATGATGTTCGATTGTCTCTTTTATCAGCTGAATAAATGAATTTATTTCGAGAATAAAATGTTTTTTTTTCCTTTGTAAACATACCTATCAGATCATCTTCGTCTTCATTCTCAAGTTCTGTTTCGTCGCTGGTATTCATACGCAAATTCTGTGATTCGACAAGACCATAATAACTGCCTTTCATATCCATTAATGATTGATGGTTTCCTTTAGAATATATACAATTATTACTCAACAAATAACGTATATTATCTTTCAAACCTTCTTCGATCACTTTTCCCTTGTCAATAACGATAATTTTTGACGCATGTACAATTGTCGACAAGCGATGTGCAATCACAATGGTTGTACGACCTTAATACTCGCTGAATCTCCTTATATTGTCAATGCAGTTTCAATTACCTTCCGAAGCATGATGAAGAGCATCCTGTACTATACGTTCACTTTCTGTATCCAAAGCACTCTGAAAAATGACAATTACAACGAGTTGTGCTCATACAACACATGCAGATCTCACCGTTGCTTCGTCCAGTAAGAGAATTCGAGGATCTCGAATAAGTGCACGGGCAATGGCTGTTGTAGAGAATCAAAGCAATGAGAACATCTATCTATGTGCTAGTTACCTATTCGTTGCTTTTGACCCTGAAACACATACAGATACTTTTCTATGTATAAATCGAATTCGGTACTCACTCCACTCATTTGAGCACCTCGCTCACCGACAAGTGTATCGTATTTCTGAGGTAGTGTCATTATGAAATCATGAGCATTGGCTATACGAGCAGCATCCTCAATATCTTGTTGGGTTGCTTCCAATCGTCCAAATCGAATGTTTTCTGCGATGGTTGTTTGAAAAAGAATTGGTTCTTGAGATACAACCCCGATATGTTGTCGAAGCCAACCGAGATGGTATTCATTCACTTCATGGCCATCGATCATCACCGATCCACGTATCGGATCATAGAATCGCTGCAAGAGTTGCATGCATGTGCTCTAGAGAAGGAAAGAGAATCATTTTACGTTTACGATCAACAGTTAGAAATTGACCTTTCCACAACCAGATGTTCCAACCAGCGCTATTGTTTCGCCTTGCTGAGCACTGAATGATAGTCCATTAAGTACGGATACGTCAGGTCGAGATGGATAGGCAAAACTAACATTTGTAAATTGGACATCACCAACCAACTCATCAGCTATGATTCCCCTTTCAGAGTTACTTGCAATTTTTGATGGCTACATATAATAGTATGCGAAGATAGCAGAACTAACTCTCACACTCTCTCTTACAGTATCGATAATGAGCCAGAGTGTGTAGGCTGCACCGCGAGCTTGTGCTATTGCTTGTAGATGAGGAGCCGCTTGCCCGAGACGGAACACACCGGTGACAATTGAAATGAATATCTGAGAGAAGATTTCCACTACGATCATACTGATGATCAATCAAAGACAACTCACAGTGAGAATGGCTCCAACCGAATATCTTTCACAGCCGACTAGCTTCGCTCCATACCAAAATCCCTATGCAATAAATATCGATCCTAGGGTAGAGATACAGAGAAAAAAATAAGCCACACGTACGAGCGCATAGGCACAAAAGATGATAAGAAATCGAAAACCCAAAAAAGCGCCAGTTATGGCTCCTTTACGAATACCATTCATTTTGACTGTTCTCAAATGTTGTTCATATCTAGTATAAGATGCGAATAAACATATCACAAGGCGTATCTATTGTTGAAAGAAGTTTTTCCACACCTGTTAGATTCGTAGGCCGCTGCATTGTATGCAAAAACTGTTCGTATACTGCTAAAAACTTCTTCAGCAACAGCTCCAGCTTTTGCATAAGATTTCAGTTGCTTTGAAGTTGCCGTCGCTATGACCTATGACAATAAAATATTGCAAATAAATGGATGTTTTCTTGACTCACTCGAGTGAGTATGACGGCACTGCCAAAGAGAATTGGACAGACGGAAAGAACAACTAATGTCAGTTTCCATCCTCTGACGAATCTGAGTAACGAGAAAAACTTTACCGTTGTTAAGTGGATATATTGCGAACGACACACATCTACAGTACTTACCCAAGAGCTATACCACCAATGAAAGTAGCAAAAAATTGAAGTGCCGAGCTGACTTTGTCACCTATTCCATCATGAACTGTGTTCACATCTTCAATCAGTCGTGTATTGAGTTCACCACTTTTGTTTATATCAAAATATGAAATTTCTTTGTTAAGAATTGCTCGAAAGAGAACTTCGCGAAGACGACGTGTTTGTCGTTCACAAGTCATTGACCAAAAAGCAACTTGAAAGTAGCCAATAACCATGGTGGCACCACCAATGACTAGAAATGGGTAAGACAGATGTAGAAGACGAGAGAAAACTTACTAATGAACCACAGGACCTGTTCGCGAATTTTTGTTGTGAATGTGTTTTCCGGTACAGTGAAGTTGGTGCCGGAAAAATTACATTTTCTGAATGATAAAATAGATCGAGAAGAGTGTAAGAGAATAGAGAGATCTTACTTGTATTCGTTTAGAAAATTCTGAGCAGTAAGCTTAACGCCGGGCGGACAGAAATGATCAAGCTCGGTAAAGTTCAATTTGCACAGGTCAAATGATCGATTGGTGAATACGTCCGACATATTGCCGAACATGAGCAACACTATGAAGTGCCCAACTGTGTATTAGACATAGATGAAACAGTCAGGAAAATTTGCTTGATGAGAAAATGTCAAAAAATTCAGAAAATTGTTAAGGATCTTCTACGGGAAAAAAACTCGTGGGTTTCATGTTCTTGATCAAATACGGACAGATCTTGGGTTGTATCTTCACTGTTTTCTGCAAAAACTACTGATCATAACTAGAAATGTCTGAAATCTTCGATGATCGTCTCTGATTGTAACGATGCAAAAGCCTATTCATAGGTACGTTAAAATGTTGGTGAGATTCGGACACATTGCTATGTTTTCATTGACATCGGATAGAACTAGGAGTTCACGAATTCTGTACGGCGAAAATATGTAAAAGCAGCAGTATACAGACGACTCTTCTCTATTCTAGAAGTTATTCACGGTTATTCGAGAGAAGAACTGTGAAAGCTAGCATTTCTACAAATACTCTTGTTTACCTACTCCAGATTTTGAAGGATGTCCAAAGACGAGCAAAGGTATTTTTCACGAAGCAAATAGAAAAACTTTTTTCGTGAGAAAATGGATCGTCCAATAATTCAATGAACTTTGTTGTATACGGAAGTAGTATAGTGAAACTTACTCAAAGGATAGGCAGCACCATTAGCAAGAGCTGAATGAAATAGAAACCAAAAAAGAAATGATGAATATTTCAAATAAAATTAATATGCTACCCGCAATTGTGCCAATTAACATGTAGAAAACATCGGCTATTTTCGCGAACCGAAACTGCAAAGAAAGAGATAACATTGAGCATTTCCAAAGGACAGAAATCAAAACATGTAATTATTACTAGACTAGCAAAGCTGACGAGCTCAGGTTTATTTTTTTTCTTGATGTTTTCAGTGTTGTCATCTAGCAAGATATTTTTCATGTCGACACTAAAAAACATGATGTCAAACGATCAAGAGTTATAGGCATGCACTCACTTAATGGAAAATAAAGCAGTTGTTGTTACGGCAGTTTCCTCAATTTCTGTGTTTGTGTCCGGTCCATTTATGGAAGTTGCATCTGAATTCGCATTACAAGTAGTGATCTCACACCAGTCATCACGGTTATGATGCTCTTGCGGATCGTTTAGTTCAATCGATTTTTCCATATTTATCTCAGGGTCAATCTACAATAGGTTTCAAAGCACGCTCATAGAAGAAGAAAGAGAGAGTTTGGAATTGAAAGTACACAAAGTGATGCTTCTACACGTCGTACACTAATTGTGATAATTGATATACGGAATAACAACTGAATGTTGGCGGGGGATATGTTAGATGCGTAGAAATAATTGTCAAATCTGCGTCAATAAATAATCAAGAGAAAATAATGCAGGACAAATGTTGTTTTGTCGCCACATCGTCGCACACCACTCAAATAGGTATGTTTCTCTTTCTCTCGTTTTATTATCTTATCAAACCATTATCAAACAAATATCACATTTTCTTTGCTGAATCTTCTCTCTCTTACCAATGAAATATCAAAAAAAATATGATGAAATTGGCCACATGCCAGCATTCAAGAACGAAGTTGAGAGGAGGGTGTGGAGTTGGGTGTCGGTGTGGATCAATAGATAATCAACATCCACGCTTACATCAATACCGACACCCACACCCATACTGGCTTTCTGATATGGATCTTCCAGGTGGCAAAACTCGCACAGAGCTTTATTAGTTTTGGCAGAGTTTGCCGAAAAAAAGGCGAATTTCAACCAAAACCAAACAAAATACATAATTTTGCCTATTAGTTCTGGTA